GAAATCAGAGGGGGAAGGGAGGGGGTATGTCCTCGATCTCCATCCCACACGGGAGAATGTCTCTCTTGTCATCCGTTGCGCGATTGACAAGAGTGTGCGCCTCCTGGCTCTTCCATTTTTTTTATTTTATTTTTTAAGCAAGGAAATACTTTAAAATAGGCACTTGTATTATAAGTTGGAAGCCGGGCCCAGCGTCCCTTACATCATCAAAGTACCCACACTACGCTTCCCCACATTGCATGGCTTGTAATTGAGTTGCTGAAACTCCTTTCCGATATTGACCAAGCCTTCACCCGATAACCACCCTTGGTCCTTTGCATCCTCCCCTAGCTCACAGGCCCAACCCTATGTTGCCCCACTACGCCAACCATTCATTGCGCATGTCCCGAGCACCACCACCTTTCTGGCCATGATGTTTTTTTTTTTATGTATCATTTCTTTCTTTTAACGCTCCGATCTAGCATGTGTTGGGAATCTGGCCTTCCCGTTAAGTACAAAAGAAAAGAACAAGGACGTAAAGACACATCACCGAAACCACAGTGCAGTATTGATTACTCTTGAGTAAACCAGAGCATTGACAGTCTGTGGGTTGGAATGGAGAATAGATGAGCCAGTGTACCAGCCTCTTCAGGTCTCATCTAGCTGCCAGGTAATGCACTCTACACAAGCTGATCTTCTAGTAGTGACATTAGGACACTACCCATCCAGCCCAAACCATGAAAGATCTACCAGACAGTTAGGAAAGGTGTGTGTAAACTCATAACTGGACTCGTTGGGAAGGACTGGGCATTGTTAGTCTTGGAAATGCTGCACTTTTTAACCCCTAAACCAGACATCTAACCCTAGACAATCAACCACCAATTTTTTCATTATTATTTTTTTTGTTGAAAAGCTAGTGGCAACAGATAGGAGTGATGATATTAGCATGCACTCCTACCTGGCCGGCTGGTTACTCCGATCTATTGGTGGGGAGTAGCACCTGCTGGAAACCGGGTCCCGCGTCGCATTGGATACAATTGTTTGCATAGTACATTAGAAACATCCTCTGCCAGCTTTGGTTGCCCTGATCACCAGGTTGTTGACTGAGCACACCATTCTGTATTGGAACACCCTAAGCTTGTCCAGAAGGGCTGTTATTCTCACTCCCAAGAGGGGAGGGCGGGGGGGGGAGGCAAGGCCGGTGACCCAGGCTAAGTCGGCCACCAGTCTCATCGGCACAATGGGGTCCACTGTGCCCAATCCCGAAAGTACATTCAGCAGTCCCTGGTCACACTGGACCCTATAGACTCCCCCACCCTGCCCTGCTGTTGCTCCTGCTGCCGCAAATACCCCGACCAGGACACCTCCGCTACCCATCCTCCCCTCCTTCCCCCTAACCATTCCTTGCAGAAACGAGTGATGATGCGGTCTATATCCTGCTTATTATGCACAAATTCCATTTTTTGTCTAGCCGCCTGCCACTGGCTGGTGATCTCCCCCTGGACGAGCTGTTGAACCTGCTCCTTTGTCTCGCCTTCCTCTACTGTCGCCCCCTCCGTTTCTAGGACACACCCTTGCCACCACAGCACCCAAAGTATAGTGTGATGTAACACATTCGTCTGGAAGGAGTCCTCCTGACCGCAAATCCCGTACCTGTCAGGATAGCCCTCCAGTCCCATGGCCATGAGGTCCCTGGGCCTATCTGTCTCCAGATCCTGTCTTACCAGCGCCACACCCACACTGAAGCTGGACATTGCAGGAAGATATGCTCAATGGTTTCAGCTCTCTTTTGCAAGGGGTAGCCTTGTAGGCAGTACTAAACATCTCTTGCACCGCGGGGTTGCCCGTCCCTGTTGCTCCCGGCCCGTCTGGTTGATACGCCAGTTATTAGCCGGCAGGCAGCGGTGGGCAATCTGCCACAGCAGTGACGAAAGCTTGGCAGGGCGCAGCTTGACCTACTGAAACCATTTGATAGGCTGAAGGACCCGCCGGTCAATGTTGAGGTGACATTACCGCCTGTCAATAATCACATCTTGCAACTGTCTCTTGGCTCTGAGCATGCAAAAGGGGGATACTTTCTCGGCGATACTGCAGATCATAATGAACCTAGCCAGCCTTCCTAAGCCCTCTAACCTTTGCCAGCTTCTGCTCGCGGATACTTTCTCGGCGATACTGCAGCACGTCAACCTGTCCACCCCAAGGCCTTGGTACCAAGATCAAACAAACCACTTAAATAACTGACCACTGCCGCCCTCTGGGCACGGCAACTGTTTCCTGTGATATCCGACGCTCCGAATGATCAGACCTTACAACCCAAATATGCACCTTCCTGAAGAACCCCATGGTGCAAAGTCCTCGCACCATGGGATACCCTTTTTTTTCCAACCCCATTAGCCCATTCTGATAATAGGATGTATTGAGTTGTAATTTTTAGCAGTGTTATGGGATGGATTCGGTTGTATTTTCTGAAACATAGGTGAGCAAGAATTATTAGCGAACTCCTCTCTCTCTCTCTCTCTCTCTCTCTCTCTCTCTCTAATAAGATGACTCTTTGGTTGTACCTACCGTGGAGGGTGATAAGAGCTCCCCTCCAGTGTAGGGCCATCTTTTTGAGGGCATTCTTTTCCACAATGAATTATCTTTCCTATGGTCTCTATCCCTGCAAGCGAACTGCTGTCAATCTCCAGGCTCTCTGCCACCTCACTCCTCTGATCTCAGGTTCTAACTTCTAATGTCTCTGATACTACAATGCACAAAAGCAATCTAGAGCGGTTCGGGTGCTTAATACATCCCTCATGAATCCACTTCTCCCTGTGTCCATACAACATAACCCACAAAGCCAACCCACAAACTCTTTTCGTATACAGAAGCCAGTCAAACCTACAAAGTCAACCCACAAACTCTTTTTCCTTAGATGTAGCAATTGTTACCGAATTCCTTTTTTTCCCTTACCTGTTGCCAATTCCAGGGCAGCAACAATGCCTGGCCACACAACTCAACTCCTGTTGTTGATAACCATCGAAACTTGTCTCCTCAATCCTTTGATCGCAATATCCACATGACTGTGATGCCCCAGTGCTCCGGTGGATTGACGGTCCCTTCCAGCTGAAGTACTTGGCTACACAAACCTGCAACAGACCAAAGCAAGAGCTGTGAAGCTCACTTAAAATTTGTTCCAGCACCTTGAGCAGTATCACAACCCAACTAGAAAAAAAAGGAAAAAAGAAAGGTATCACAACCCAACTAGAAGACTAACTTGAAGGAGATTGCACCAGGTGCATACCTCCCCCAGAAACAAGGTCCTGCACACAAACCATTTCACAGCACGGCCACTTTGACTGCTTACTCAAGCTATTCCGATTGCTCCTTGCCATCACCGCATGACGAACTTCGCCCACAAGACGAGACTGAAACAGGGCGAGCAATATACTGACGTGGCACGAAAGCTTTCTTCCACGATCATCCCACTGTCACCTTTCTTGTCCATCGCTCTTGGCTAACCCATCTAAGTAGCTGAAGGAAGGCACATCAACCGGGGGGCATCCTTCCCATCATTGCTCCATCCCGAACAATGCTGATGCTTGTTCGAACTACGTCTCAACCTCATGAAGTGTCCGCTTACACTCCTAGATTGACCACACCTTCACACAATGCCTTCCTTGCATCCCTGGAATAATCAGGAGGGAGTCCCCTTCCGTCCTCACCCTCCTCATCCCTTGCCACTGTGGCAACATCAAACCCAAAATCGCTCCTTCGGTGTTATTTGTTATATCTTCTTGGAGGCAGGCACAAACAATCAATCGAGTTTCCATCCTGCCAATACAACACCGCCTGTGCTCCACCCCAGCCCTGGATTGCCCCTTACCTCTCCATCAAATCTTATCTGAGGCAATTGCTGTCCTTCTTCCGTTCTTCCCTTCCTCTTGCTGTCAAACAATCAATCACTCATGTCTGGTTCAGAATGACATCACTCTTCTCTTGCATCACAGAGTAATGTGACGCTTCTTACCTCCTTGCTTTCTTTCTCTGCTCCCCTCGCTCATCCTCCTTGTCCCCCCCCGAGCCCCTTTTTCTCCTCTTTGCCCTGTTTTCACCTCTGCCTCCTCTTCTCGTTGCCTTTTCAGTGGGGTTCATCCACCACACTTTGGGCATCGTTGCCCTGCGTGTTTCAAAATTGTTTCGAAAACTGTGCTTGCTGGTTGGTGATAAGCAACCGGACTGATGGCCCCCAGAATAGAAGGGGCTGGGAGTTCTTGGGGGGGGGGGGGGGAAGAACAATGAACTCTTACCTCTGAGATGGTATCATTTTTTTAGCCCCTTTTTTTTTGAAGAATGCTCAGTCTATTCGTGGGGCCCTGCCTTGGTGGGAGGTCAGGCAGGGCCTTTTCAGGGGCCTCAGGCCTGTCTGTTCATGGCTTTGGATGGCAGGTTCTGTCCCATGCTGCCAAGGTAACTAACTGCCTTGCTTATTAAGCACAGCCCCCAAGTAACAGATTGCCTGCTCTGCCGAAAACATATCCTCTTTTTCTGTTGTAAGAATTGAAAAGGAGTTTCGAAAAGGATGTTTTTCTTTGTTTGCCATCTTAAGAGGTTTGCGAGAATTGGAGTTTTTAACAACTTTTTATCCCAAACGTGTTGGCCGATTCAGTCCCGATTCTGCTGACAGTATTTGCGAGAAATCAATGCTGTCGGCAGCTGCTCTGCCTTTTGCTGTTTCGTATTTGCTAACTCATCAGTGGAAAAGGGACCGCACTGATGATCTCCGGAATAGAATGGACTCGACGGAGCCATGACCACTAGGTCTATGTTTTAGCGGTAGAGAAGAAAGAGAAAAAGTGTGTAACACTGATATCAGGTACAATATTGTCAGTGTAGTGTGCACACATTAGGCATCCTCTTCTGCACATCTGACTTTTTGTGCCTGTTGCTATGTATTGAGTACAAAAAGCGCTTGTGTGTGTGTGTGTGTGTGTCTTTTTGTCTTGGCATTGTTGGTAATGGTGCTGATGTTGGTGTTACAGAGATGAACTGCTGGATGATGACTGGCGAAAGACAGTCGGGTAGAATTCGCGAGAGGTACCTTAAAGCGATCCTCCGACAGAATGTGGGATTCTTCGACAAGGAAACAACAACTGGCGAAGTCATTGAACGAATGTGGGGCGACACCGTTCTTATACAAGATGCCATGGGAGAGAAGGTACCCATTCTCACTGTTCCCTTTGAAAGCTCATCACATTGATTGTTGTTTTCATCAACTGCAATAAAATATTCTTTTGAAGGCTCGAAAAAATACAAACTACGGGGGGGGGTGGTATACGCTGTACGCTCGATGTGTGTCATATAGAGAGAAATTCGCTGGAAATGACACCACCCATTAACCACTGAGAGGTCATATACGGTGGGTTGGCTAGGGAGTGCATGATGTCAAGCTGGTTAGAGTTTTGCTAGGTTTGAACTGCTGTTCCTTTTTTAATTTTTTTTTTTTTCCAACAACAAGGATTGCTCCATTCTCACCAATGGGCTTAGCTCAGTTGGTAAACCCACAGACTGTTGAAATGTGCACACCTGAGTTCAAATCCAGATGGAACCAGATGAACAAAATTTCTATTAAAAAAAAAAAAAAGAAAGGGTTGCTCCATTCTATTGGTGGGGAGCTGCACCGGCTGGAAACCGGGTCTAGCGTCCCTTATGGAAAAGCAGAAAGTACGAACTCCCACACTCCCTATGCGTGCCCTCTCTCTCTCTCACCCTCTCCCTCCCCATCTGCACCACAGAATCTTCCAGTCTCACCTGTTTTTTGCCTACTCAGATCTTCACCATCACTGTCTTTTCCTTGGCCTTCTTCTTGTGCGTCGATCTTCAACCTTGTTATAGTGGCCGAGGGATAGCGGTGACCCAACTCCGCCAAGGTATCAGCTCTAATCACCAAGTCATCCATATCATCCTCCTTCCTCCTCTCGGATCTTGTGAACTCTGCCTTCCATTAAGTTCCATACCAATAGATTCCTCTCTATGTCATCATCTCTCTTCTGTTCCCTTACCTTTATATCTCTATCGCCCACTTCTCTATCCTTAGTAATTGTTTCCTTGATCTTTACATCAGCTAGCTTCTGAAGGCACAGGTTGATAGGGTCACATTCCTCCATGTTGTCATTGCTCGTCACTTCTGTTCTGCTGACCTTGGTAATCACTGTCATAATTGTCATTTGATTCCCCTGTCTCATTCTCGCTCCTCTCCCCATTGTTCTTCTGTTCGCTGGAGTCATGAAAAGCACTATCATGCCTCTCAGCATGCTAAACCACAGCATCATCATCATCGTCTTCATCGTTTTCTTCCATCATGACTCCGATATCTTGCTGCTGAGGGTGAACGTGCCGATGACGGTGACTCGCTGCGGGGCCCTGATAGAAGCATAACTCAGTGAGAGGTGATAGGGGGGGACATATTCCTATCAAGCAGTCCAGCCGTGGCACTCGACCGCATCTGGGGCAAAGATCACCAGTCTTGATGTTCATTCTAGCCAAAATCATCAGAATCTGGGACTGAGAAGTACTGTGAACCATATGGAAGCCACTGATCCCTGCTTTGCCCTTCAAGTTAGGCTTCGCTGGTCTTTGGGACAAAGATTTTTGAGGGCTGCACAGATGCTCGCTGGCTCTCCCTTTGCTCTCCTGTCAATTGCCTTCCTCAGTTCGGTGGTCTGTTTGGTATCTTGCGCTTTGTCTCCGAACTCCTGTTTTTTTTTTTTGGGGGGGGGGGGGGTGCTAGTTGTTACTCGGATGACTCTCTGTATGGGGATGGGGATAGGGGTCAGATGAGTTCCTTCGAGATTGTGTAGGCTCCGATCAAGCTCAGTAGAGCTTCACTTGGCTCAAATTGACTGGATGGTGTTTGGTGGGGTTGTGTTCAGGTATGGCTGTGTTTGACTGTGACTGTGGGGTTGTGTACATGTATGGCCGTGTTTGACTGTGACTGTGGGGTTGTGTACGGGTATGGTCGGTTTGCACGGGGTGTTTTCATCGAGGGTCTGGTTGGATTTGGGCTGAATGAGATCCCACTGGGTTGTACCGTTAGGTTGAACCGGGGGGAATTCGCAAAGCTGGAGTTGATGGAGTTCAGTTTCTCTTACGCTGGCAAGGGGGCAAAGTACATGGGAATGTGTGATGCCTGTGGGTTGGGTAGATCGCTGAGACAAAACAAGTTGGGATACTGCGAGGACCCTGAAATTGAGCCTGCAATGTGTCAGATACATAGCTGTGTATGTTTCTGTTTCCAGAAACGCGTATACCTTTGGACAGAGTTTGGATTTTTCTCAAAACTCAGGCATCTCGCAGAAAGACTTGAAAGTGAAACAAAGCCATAGTACTTAGTTGAGAGTCTAGACACAAGGGAGCGTTCAATTTCATTCCCCCAAAGCCTCGGTGTCTGTCCCTGCATTCCACTTTAGGCTCATCCCAACCCTAGTTCAGGCTCGGACGAACCACCACACCTTGTTCTGTGGTCTCTACCATTCCAATCATCTATCAGGCTGAGGCGAAATTAGAACATCGGAACGAAGGAACAAGTAAAAAGTTAAAAACCCTTCGCAACGAAAATGAGCGATAGCGAAATACAGAAACCAAGCCGCATCATACATATTAAACCAGGTAGTCGTGACCTCGAACCAAAAGCAGAATTGCAGCACGAAATACACCAAATAAGAGCACACCAGAGCTCACAAATGACAATGTTGAAAATAGTGTCGTCATCATCATCCATGAACCAATGTTGTTCCCCTAAGTGGTGCTCGGCACCCCGACTACAACTGGCAGATCCTATCTAGCCTATCAGCAATGCCGTTGGTGACGTCAACAGCTTTCCGAAGTACGAGCAGATCTCGGCCAATGCCGTCCGCATCGAGCACCAGTTGTCCTCACCACACTCACAACCTCGATCCCCCACACAGATTGCACATGCAGCCAAAGGCCGCCATGCGCATCATCCAGATACAGGCAGGCTAGCCCTGCTATGGCTGCCTGCCAATCCCCCTTGCTCACCCGTGAGCACGCGGGTGACTCACGCGTATAGCTAGCGCAGCACTGCGCGTCAGAAGCTGCGAGTGTCCGAATGCCCAGCCAGTGGCCAGGCCCTTTCCTTTATGGAAAGTGGCTGCCAGTCGTGAGCTGTCTGGCTGGTCTGAGCCTCTGCCCAGAAGCTTCCGGTCGGCCCCAAGTCGCTGGACGACTGTCCCAGGGGAATATCGCGCAAGGCCTCTGGCAGTTACGCGTGTCCAACTGCCAGGCGTGCTGTGTACAGTTTGTGCCTCGTGTCTGGCCCAGAGCCTGCCTCCGATTCTTTCAGGAAGAACGTAGAAGCCCGAAACAGATGTTACTCACGGCCTGGGCTCACTCAACGAAGTGACGATGCGTAACTGTCTGTTTTTCCCCAGTTGCCGAAAACATAAAAATAGGCCTCATGTAACTTATAAGGCCCACCTTCACTTAGGGGGGCCTTACTTGCTGAACAGGCCCAAGAGGGCTTACCGAGGCCATGAGCATCCCACCTTCTTCACACACACACACACAAAAAAAAAAAAAAAACAAAAAAAAAAAAAACTCTGGAGGATTCGGCAGTTCGCACACGCTCAAACAGACGCACAACATGTTTGTATGTTTCTGCTTTTTTCACATCATGGAATAACGGGTTTGTTACATCACCAACACATCGAGAGCAACAGACCCGGTGACATGCTGGCTTCTGGCACCCCAATAACTTCCATGGAAATCTGGAGTTAACTGGGGCTGGTCACCTGTGGATATATCCCAAGACTGTCGCTCCTTTTTTTAAGAAAAGAAAAAAGAAGGGAGAATTCAGGCCTACCCAGTCGGCACTTTGGGATAAACGAGGCCGTCCTATCATTCCTATGGAATGGTGGTGGCTTAGCACAATTGCGAACCGGACAGGGAACGGCCTGGATCATTCCTCGTTATCGATGATTTTTTAACTTGTGTCACTTGTGTGCCTTTAACAACAAAAAAGGCAGAGCGGACAAGCAACTGCCTACCTTCTTCCCTCAAATACAACGTACGCGGTACGGTCATTATAGCTGTATTTAGACTGAAAGATACCCCAAATACAGCTATAATGACCGTACGTTGTATTTGGGGGAAGACGGTAGAACACTCCTCAGCATGGATAGTTTTAAGTTTGCTTTGCGTGGTTGTTGCTACTGTTGCAATCTTTATTATAAGTGAGAACACTGATAAGCTTCTTGCAGCCAGCCCGTTCTAAAGAAAAACTGCATGTAGAAAAAGCAGCGCAATGTGATTATAAAACAATGTGTGAGGTTTTATTCCCGCGGAGGACACAATGTGCAAGTGAAAAGCTGCAGCACCCCCGTAGGATGCCACAGTGTCGCCCTTCTGCCTCGTCCACTCAGGCAAGGAACAGCGCCAATCTTTTGTGTCTCTAACAAAGTTGTAGAACAGCCCCAAAGGAACGACTTCGAAATTTTGCGAGCATGGGCGATGGGTGGTGTTAATTTCGCTTTCGCTTTGCGTGGTTGTGGCTGGTGTTGTTGCAGGTGGGAAGCTTTTTGCAGCTGATCACCACATTCATTGCAGGTTTTGCAGTGGCATTTTCCCGGGGATGGCTGCTGACCCTTGTCATGCTCTCAGTCGTGCCGCTCTTGGCGGGAAGTGGAGCAGTTATGACGACCATCATCCGTAAGCGAGCGAGCCTAGGACAGGATGCATACGCAGAGGCAGGATCGCTCGCTGACCAGATTGTCAGCAGCATGAGGACAGTTGCCTCCTTTGTCGGTGAAAAGAAAGCAGTTGAGGCATACTCCATGAAGATCCAGAAGGCTTACAAAAGCGGCATTGTGCAAGGGTTCACGAATGGATGTGGGATGGGAAGCCTGATGTTTATCATGTTCTGCTCCTATGCTCTGTGTTTATGGTCGGGATCGCGGTTCATCGCACAACATAAGGGATACACCGGCGGCGGAGTGTTAACCATTCTCTTCAGCGTCATTGTCGGAAGCATGTAAGTGCAGAGAACTGTTTCATTGTAGTCATGTTCATATATATATGTACGTCAGAACTCCGACCACATCCAACTGGGTGATCACGATCGTGTATTGCAGCTATTGCTTATTCAACCTGATTCCACTGCATTCCTAATCTGGTCGTCACGACTTTCAGATGCATCATGGCAATCCTCTTAAAGAGGTGATGGTTTATTTCTGAGGGTGGAGTGGTGTGTGTTTGACGCATCTCCCAACGGGGCCATGCCTCTGAGCTGAGCTTTGACCCTTAACAAGTTTGCAGAGCCATGAGAGAGACGTTCGAACTTTCCGTATCTCGGTTGCAAAACTGTGAGCGAAGTTTGAACTCTTCTGATAATTGCGAAAACAATAGAGAGGTCTGAAATTTCTGCATGCCTGTTTCGGTATTTTCACTGCTAGGCTGTTTCTCTGTGCGCACAGGCATGGATTTTGTCCCTGGAGACGGCTGGCCGCCCGCCCGCCCAGGCCCAGGCAGGAACCCTGGGCAGGGGCTTGGGCAACCACAGCTCAAAAAAAAAAAAAAAACCAGAAAAGTTGTGAGAAAAGTTAGAAAACTCCAAAGGTTTGGAGAAAGAAGTAAAATGTTGTGTAGAACAGCTCTTGGCTGAGTGTCACATCAGAATTCCTAATTGAATTAAAAAAAAAAAAAAAAGAAAAAAAAAAGAAGCAAAAATCGAACTAAGGCACCTCCCCCATGTACACCTCTGTCCACCAAGTCACCGAGAAAAGAAGGAAAAGGAAAAAAAGACGCGGAGCTCTTACATGCCTGGGGTTCCCCAGCAAGCAAACAGCTGGGCGACCTGCACGGGTGCATGCCCTGCCGTACAGCTGGGCGACCTGCACGGGTGCATGCCCTGCCGTACAGCTGGGCGACCTGCACGGGTACCTCAGATTTTCAGGCTATAAAACCATATTTCTGAGTTGATCAGCATAAAAGAACCAAATTTGTTGCTTTATCCTATCACGAGTCTTACGCTCTGTGGCTGACATAGCCCAGGACAGAAAACTTCATAAAAGTGAATGACATGTGTGGTGTTAACAGTGCTATCATAGGCGCATAGCACATTACACAGGGCCTCACTTCACGACTCACCACATGCACAAGAGAGAAAAAAATATGGCGGCGTATCTTTCCATGTTCTTGTTTTTTTTTTTTTTGAAACAAAAACAGGTCCTTGCAATGACTTGCTGATTGGACTGCTGCGTTTGTCTGCGAGGCTGTACAGTACAGTTTAGGGACAGATTTGCAAATTTGTTTTCGCTAAGGGCTAACCGTGGTATCCGCCAGGGGGGAAATTTGGGAGGGACATATCTGCAAAGTTGCAGAATTTCATGCCCGCACTAATCCGGATTTCCTACAGTCACCCTAACTGCGAATAGCAGACCCTGGCTACCACCAGGACAGACAGGCCTACGGGCCTACGCTGAAAGACGGATCCTATAGCCTATAGCCGGGTAGGGAGAGGCCCGAGAAGCCGAAACTGAAACGGTACCGGTCGGTCCAGTCTGAGTCTAGGTTTAGGCTAGAGTTATTAATAGGACTGAGTCGGTCTAGTGGGGGGCTTTGTTTTTGCGATTTTGACTTTTGGGGTTGGTGTTCGACGGGCTTGGACAACGGCTCAGCCCAGTCCGAGCTCAGTTAGCAGGAGGCGTGAGCAGAGCCTAGGAAGGAAGGAAGGAAGGAAGGAAGGAAGGAAGGAAGGAGGGTGACAATTGACTGCAGGCGGCATCCTGAGTCCCTTTTGAGGACAGCCATAGCCAGACCTCTGGGGCCCGCCATAGCTGGGGCACCCTCGACGTGCTCACCCTTGAGGGTGCTTGCCATCGTCTGGGCTATCAGGAGGCTCTACACCGCTGTTTGTGGGTGGACCGCTGCTGCCGCTACTTCTTCTGAGATTGCTGTGTGGCAGAGACAGTGGCGCTGCAGCCATAGCTGCAGCTTTTGACGTCAGAGACTCTTCATCTTCATCAGGAACTTGGCGCTGGCCTCCGTCTGCATCATTCTGGTTGGTGCCGGCCTCTGAGAGGCTGTTTCAGTGTGGTGCTACTAACAGAGTGTAGGAGTGGGGATGTAGTGTAGGTTTCAGTGGTGGGGAACCATTGAGAGAGAACTCTGTAACGATTCAGGGTTGATATTGGCTCAAACTTGGTTACGTTCTGTTGTGATCCTCGGGATGTCTTCTTATGATTGGTTGTTGGGAGCATCGTCAGAGAGAGAAACACTGTGTGTTGACTCCACACTCTGTGCATATTTGCTTTCCGCTGATTATTCTGTCTGTGTGCATTGTGTGACTCTGTCTCCTCTCCCCTTCTTCTTATGCATGTATGGGCATGTGTGAGATCGCTTGTGTGTGAGAGTTGATTGAAATCGACCGACAACCAAATTCATAACATCCTTACGGCCCTGGCTCGATGTCCATTCTGGGGAGCATGTTTTAGTGGAAGATTCATTCTTATTTTGCACATTTGGTGATCAGTGGAGCGAGGCCCATGGTACAGACATATCCTGACTGCGCAATGTGTCTTGCCGTAGCATATGTCACATATCATATTATGCTGCTGGGTATGCCGTTGAGATATCTGAGACAGGAAAAAAAGAAAAAAGGAAGTCAGAGCATTCTTCTTTCTTTTTTTTTAAATAAAAAATAAAAGGGAAGACAGACTCTGACAGAGACCATAGCGCACAATTTACATTAACCTGACACATTTCACACAAGTAAAAAAAAATGACGTGTGTCACTCATGATGTGTGTGGTGTTGATGATGCTGGCTGCAGATCTCTGGGTCAAGCATCGCCGAATCTGGTTGCCTTTGGGTCGGGGAGGGCAGCAGCATACAAAATGTTCGAGGTCATGCAGAGAGAGCCTCCTATTGACATTGCAGACATGTCGGGAAAGGTCCTTCCAGAGGTGAGGGGGGAGATTGAGCTGAGGGATGTGCATTTTGCCTATCCTTCGCGGCCGGACGTGAACATTTTCAATGGTTTTAGCTTAGTCATGCCTGCAGGCAAAATGGCAGCTCTGGTCGGAGAAAGTGGCAGCGGTAAGAGCACGGTCGTTAGCCTGATCGAGCGATTCTATGACCCTCTCTCAGGCACAGTCTGCGTCGATGGAGTGGACATAAGAAGCCTCCAGCTTAAGTGGTGGAGACAGCAGCTTGGCCTTGTCAGTCAAGAGCCAGTCCTGTTTGGCACAAGCATTCGGGAAAATGTGGCGTACGGAAAGGAGGGTGCTACCTTTGAGGAGATAGTGTCGGCTTGCAAGATGGCGAATGCTCATAGATTCATCATGAAGCTACCCAACAAGTATGACACCAATGCCGGCGATCGAGGGACACAGCTATCGGGGGGACAGAAACAGAGGGTGGCCATTGCCCGAGCAATCCTGCGAAACCCAAAGATCTTGCTCCTGGATGAGGCAACCAGTGCGCTCGACACACAGTCCGAGAGGATCGTCCAACAGGCACTCGACAGCGTTATGGCCAACCGGACGACGATCGTCGTTGCGCATCGCCTGTCAACCATCCACAATGCAGATATGATTGCGGTCGTTCAGAGAGGAAGGGTGATCGAAATTGGGCAACACCAATCTCTAGTGAACAAGCCTGGCGGGGCTTATGCGGCGTTGGTTAGCCTGCAGAAGTGTGATGAGGATGTGAGTGAGGAGAAGGTGGATGGTTGTGAGGGCGAGGAGGGCATTGAAGAAGCAAATGGCGATGGGCGGTTGCAACATGGAATGCGTGCAGGCCGAGGACTCGTCATCGAACAGCAAGTTTCCGACGTTCACGCTTACGACGGATCGGACAAAATGGCACAAGCTTCTGAAGGAGCCGGGGCCAAGCGGCAAGGCAGAGACTCGATCCTTAAAGATCTGCTTATGTCAGTTATTCATTCTTTTCGTCGAAGAAAGAATTCAGACGTTGAGAAAGGGTCCGCAACGCGGGGTAAGGGAGCTATGCTACGGATGGCAAAGCTGGGATTGCCGGACTTGCACTATGGTGTTCTTGGGCTCCTCGGGTCAACGGGGCAAGGGCTTGTGTTCCCTGCATTCTCAATCCTGCTCTCTCACATGCTTGCAGACTTCTATAAGACTGATGTGAATAAAATAAAGAGTGCGGCGAACTTTTGGGCACTTTTGTTTGTAGGTCTGGCATGCTGGGCACTGGTCTGCATGTGCGTACAGTTGACCCTGTTCACGGTGGTTGGTGAGAGACTCGTCAAGCGGGTGAGAGAGATGACTTTTGCTACAGTTGTCAGGCAGGAGATTGCATGGTTTGATGATCCCGACAACTCTGCTGGGGTGGTGGGTGCACGTCTGGCGACCGATGCGGCCTTGGTTAAATCCATCGTCAGCACCCAGCTTTCCACGTCGACGCAGGCTCTTGTTACGGTGATTGCAGGTCTCACGGTTGCTTTTATTGCCAGTTGGCGGCTTTCGCTTGTGATTTTGGCAATTGTGCCAATTATTGGGGCTGCGGGCGTTTTCCAGGCTCAGTTCATTCAGGGATTCAGTGCAAATGCCAAGCTTATGTATGAACAGGCCAGCAAGGTCGCGAACGATGCAGTAAGCAGCATAAGAACGGTTGCTGCTTTCAGCGCAGAGGACAAAGTGATGGGGTTGTACAATGAGAGGGTTGTGGAGCCGATGCGTGCGGGCAAGAAGCAAGCAGTGATCAGTGGCTTTGGCATGGGCTTTGCGCAGTTCGCTTTGTTCAACTCCCATGCCCTGAGCTTCTGGTACGGAGGAAAGCTGGTCCAAAAAAAACTCGCATCGCTTCAGGATGTCTTCAATGTGTTCTTTGCCATATTCATGAGCGCAAGAAGCGTATCGCATGCACAGAGTGCGGCCCCGGATGTCGGGAAAGTGAAAGCAGCGGCCAGTTCAATCTTCCAAATTCTTGACCGCAAGTCAAAGATAGATCCAGAAGAAACGACGGGGGAGATTGTGCAGGGATCATTTCGGGGGGAGGTGGAATTCGAGCAAGTGCATTTCGCCTACCCAACACGCCCAGACATAGTGGTCTTGAGAGATTTCAGTCTGAAGATTCCTCCCGGTATCACCCTTGCTCTTGTAGGTGAGAGTGGGAGCGGGAAGAGCACTGTGGTGACGCTGATTGAGCGTTTCTACGATCCGGATTCTGGCAGAGTCCTTGTTGACGGCAGAGATGTGCGCAGATTGCAGGTGAAGTGGCTGCGGTCCCAAGTGGGACTCGTGAGCCAGGAGCCTGTGCTGTTCGCCTCGTCAATACGGGAAAACATTTTGTATGGCCGAGAGAATGCCACGGAAGCCGAGGTTGAGGCAGCAGCTCGCGCAGCAAATGCACACTCCTTCATATCGCACCTCCCTGAAGGCTACAATACCCTGGTTGGTGAGAGGGGCACCCAGCTTTCTGGAGGGCAGAAGCAGAGGGTCGCCATTGCAAGAGCGATCATCAAAGATCCGCGGATTCTGTTGCTCGATGAGGCCACTAGCGCGTTGGACACCGAGTCTGAACGCTTGGTCCAAGATGCGTTGGACCGCATGATGCTCCAACGGACAACGATCGTCATTGCGCACCGCCTCACTACCATCCGAAATGCCGACAACATCGTTGTAATGAATGCAGGACAGGTTGTGGAGCAAGGACAACATGACGAGCTTGCCGCCAAACCAGGAGGTGCTTATGCTACTCTGGTCAGTCTCAACAAGCTCTCCGTAGTTTAGAAGCGCGTGCCAAGTGCCCAGTTTAGAGCCGTCTCACTACCAACCATGCGAATGCTGGCCAGCCTGAGCAAGCTCTCAGTAGTTCAGACGAAAGCACTACTGATCGTATACCTGCATCACAATGCCGGTTGACTTGGACTTGTCATCAAGGACTCATCAACGACTCATCAACGACTCATCAACGACTCGTCAAGGACTCGTCATTCCTGGAATTGAGGCAAGTACCTAGTTTTAGGTCAAAGCAAGGGCAATGCAGATGAATTCAAGCTTGTTCTTTTTTTTCTTTTTTTTTCATGTCGCAAGTGGACACAGCACAAGCTCAGGAATGCATGTCATTCATTTGTGCTGCGTCTTTTTTGCTTTTTTGCCCCTGCTCAGTAACGTTGTTTGCCCGGTTGCACTGCTGGGTTCCACAGAGTGAAAAGAAGCAGGGAATTGTTGCAAGGCCTTCTGCACCAGTTCCCTTAAATCTGGCAACAATGGGTCAGCATTGCGCTTTTTTCTTTTGAGGGTGTCGAGGGGTCGCAGATGGGGTATGCCCGTAGGCACAAAGTTTGTAGACGCTGAGGGTAAGCAGTGGTGGTGGGAGTGTCCTGGATGTCGCGGAATTCGAAATGCGTGCTGTATCTGCTGATCTGTATGGCGCTTGCAGTCATTGAGGCAACTGTTAACGGTGACGAACGCAAAGCTTTCCACCAAGTGACAGTGAATAGTGAAGCATCCTCTCGCGAAGTAGAGAGGTAAGCAAAGCCAAGGGAAGGAATGATTGTGTGTGTTGATCTGGCAAACTCCCTCACACAAGGATGCAGGGTTATGACGATGCGTGTTGGCATGTTACATCCTAGACCGGTGTTCAGCTCCAGACAGATGGCGTGGAAGTCATCTGCTGAAATAGTCAATAGGATTGACAAACTGACATTTCCCCTACTTGTCCAGGGGGCGTTTGCACGTCTCTCTCTTCCCCCCCCCCGTGCCTCTCTCTCTCTCTCTCTCTCTCTCTCTCTCTCTCTCTCTCT